GAAAGCCGTAAAAATCTTGAACAAAAGCTCATCTTTCAAACCAGCAGTCTAAACCCCAGAGGGATCAACGAACACTTTTCATTCCACTAATTTATTCGTGTTTTTCTCATTGCCATGTTCCTACCAATAACGTAGCTCCATTCTCTGCCTTAGGCACACACAACCCACAATTCCTCTATTTGCTCCGACGAAGGGCTAACACTCGAAACGTCAGCTTTTGTAATCATTACGGTGGCCAATTTACCATTTCAACTTTGTTGATATATCCAAATTATTTCGTTACTCCCACCGACGCAGCCCCAAACAGTTTCTTTTGAAACTATCAGCCTTTATTCATTCAAATTTTAATGGCTTCAGCCATGCGATGCAACAAGTTGTGGAAGCGTTAGAAAGTCTTCATGAGCCATTAGGCAAAATCAGTAGGGCGTTAAAGCATCAAAGCTAACAGTTAACGGCTTCAGGCATCCGTTAGAACAAGTTGTGGAAGCATTAGAAAGTTTTCATGAGCCATTAGGCAAAATAAGTAGGGTGTCAGAGTGTCAGATCAAAACGTTGGTACGCTCTAAATGACCGTTAGCCATGACATGCCGACTGTTAGACTGTTAAGGCAAAATGTTAGAACACTTTCAAGGCCATTAACTGTCCGTTCACCACCCATTAGTTTATGTCCATTTCACGGATAAGCGTTAAAGTACGTTTTCCCGTGTACACTCACAAATGCTCAAACTAAGTTGCAACTTAGAATACATCTGCATCAACTTCATATTTGAACAATTGTGTCTATCAAAACAGGTACTGACAAGTAAAAAGATTCTGCTGATCAGAAAATAGAACTTTACAGCTACTCCAAATGAAAACAAGAATCAGAGATGATGTTTCCACATCAGTGTAAGAATTAAAGAAAAGTCCAAGAGCCAAGGTTTAATTGCATGTCAAATGGTGATGATAAGGGACTTTTTAATGTTAGGTTGATGATCCTAGGGCAAGATTTCCAAACACTTCCTCATGCAAGCAATTAATTGATAAAAATAAAAACACTAACAAAATCAATATATCACCTTTGAGACTACAGCCTTGTTTTAGAAGGTAAAGTAAGTCATTATTTGTAAATCTTTCCTATTTTAGATCTATCTAAACACCATTTACATTTCTTCCAGACACATCATTACGATCCCTAATCTACACGATGAAAGAAAATACTCAAATCTCTTCAAATAAGTTCAAAAAGAAGGTCCTTTTATACCATGACTTCTAAAATAAAATGTACAATTTTAAAAATAAAATGTTTGCAAATGCTTGGATCATCAACTCTGGCAAAAAAAATCACAGCTGTATTGGGAACCAGATGTTTACATCACGAGTAAATAAAACTGGCTAAAGAACAACATTGTGTTGTTACAAGACTAAACAACTGCGGCAAGAATTCTACAAGATGATATCAAGTGATCAACACATGACTCTTTTCTTTCTAATATTTGTTCTTAACAAAGACGATTACAGATGATTTTCAGTTTTCAACGTCGTTTAACCTTACGAGGATTTTTCAATTTGTTATTCCGCCTAAGCGACAAAAGAAAATCATTAACAAAAACTGTTCAGGCAAGCGTCTTAGAGAAGCGATTACTGCAATTAGATCACTAGAGGAAAGCGCGATCGCTCAACGCGTACCTTTATTAGCAGGTAACAAGTAAACAAGTAAGAAAAGCAAAATAAACCTTCTGACTGTGGCAGAGTTTGCATTCTATCTCAGCTCACGGCCTATTATTCCGTTCTTCTTTTAATTTAAACCTTCGCGCCCTGGATGATGAGTAATCACAAAACTCGATTAATGAAAACATTTAGAAATATATAATGCATTTTCGCCTTCTAATCTTTTAGTATTCCTATCTAAAGATTAAAAAAAGATCAGTTTCTCAATTGCGTTATGTAGTTCACCGTTATCAAAAAATTATACAGAATCGCTAAACAGCGACAGAACTTATTATAAACCAAAATAAATGCCATTTGATGCTACAACAACATTGCATCCGAATGTCTCCCACAAAAACATACACAAAATACTTACATCTAGATCGAAAATTGTGCTCTGGTCATCTAGCAATTGAACTTCACAGTGCAGCGTGCTCGACCTTCCCATATTGGTGCAAAAGGAGCTGTGTTTTGAGGAAAATAGCCAACAGATAGCAGACTTCGACTGCAGCGAGTAGATTCGCACCCTCCCAAAGCTAAAAATGCCTCGATTTCATTCTGTTTTGGTTGCGTTGCATTCTGGTTGGGGAAAAACATTTACCATCCGGGGTGGGCTGAGGAATAGCAGAAAGACTAGTGCCCAAGTCCACTCCTCGATCCACGAGTGACAGTGTGTTTAGAAGACGTTTGAAAGGTTCGATAATCACATCAAACTGTCCTACAAACTACAATAGCCAAAAACATGATCCATTATCTGATGAACTCATGGCAGAAAGAATTTGAAATCTGAGCTATAGATGCGCGAACGGTTTACCCTTTAGACCGAGGCGTGACCATAAAACACGCTATCGTTCACCACTCAGGGGAAATCCCCTAAATAAAATTCGTAACACACTTTCGAAACTGACAATAGTAACTAAATTGATGCACAATAGTCGAAGATATTTTCGCTTCATTCACATTACTTTTGATCGCTGTTTTCACGGAGACTTACAGCAACGGATAAATAGCGCGTCGAAAAATTACACTGAAATGTTCCTCTCCCTCTTCGAACGGGATACCGTCGAAAACGAAAGATGCACTTCTTCACTCCAGATGGCTAACGCTCTTCAAGGCTCTGACGAAGGCGTAGAAAACAGCTTCGATTCAAGTACACTGGACTGCGATAATAACAAAGTTCACAAAACTGGTTCAAGCAGACAAGGAGAAGCGATGGAACAAAACGAAGAGGCTTCTGTTTTGAACTTGAATATTGACGCTCCTTTCGTGCAAGTAGGAAGAAGAAATAAGATGAACTTTGATTCCTTGGATCCTTCACATACTACAGACAATTCTGGAGAGGGAAATCACAATGATAAACTCGCTCCAGTTTTGAGAGAGCTATACAGGCCCTGTGATAAACGTCTGAACGTTGGTCGAAGGCGAAAAGGCTTCCCTGATTGCCGTGAAGATCATCTGATACAAATATTGGTTTGTAAGAACCAACACTCGCCAGAAGCCCTCGACATCACGGACAAATACGACGTCAGAGTGGCAGTAAGTCACGTTGAGCTGGGTGAAGCTAGCCTGAAAACTCCTATCTACCAGAGCGAACGCATCAAAAGCGGAAGTAAAAGCTCAGCGAATGGAAGTATGATCGGGGTTGTCGGTTTTCTGTTCCGCTTTCATGAGCCGAACACTAAGTACAAGATAACCTTCTCCCTCTTAGCCGTTCCCTCGAAAAGGAAAGGAAAAAGGAAAAAACTGTGTGCGGCTTCCCCTTGTAAAACAATCAGTGAAATCTCACTCACGCTAGAAACAGGGGACCTGGTCCCGTCTAGATCTGGGAAGACTGGGAAAGAAACGAAAGCTGTGAGAATTGTTCCGCCTTCGCTTGAAATAGCCGCAGCTCCCCTTTCAGAAGAGCGTGCAGTGCTCTGCACAAGATCCTTGTGGGTGATGAAGGAACTACAGTCGCTCCGAGACAATGCCAAGTGGGATGATTTTGACAATCGCGCGAATCATCTTTTGTTAAAATACACCGATGCAGACACTCAAATAGCTATTAAACTGGAACAAAGCGTGGCAGAGTGTTACCAAAACCAGTTAGAAACTTCTCTTCAGATGATTGATGAAGCACTCAATATGATTGACAGTGCCAAAAATCAGGAACTTCTTCGTGGAAGAGGTTATGGTTACATAGCCGGCGTGAAGAGGCGACAGAGGAACCTAGGAGAGGCTATGCGGTACGTGGATCTTGCAGAACAAATCAATCACATGTGTCACACGCATCTCGACACGAGTTTCATCGATTATGAACGCGCGGGCGTTCTGCTTGAGTTCATTAGACGCACAGCTTGTAGGAGCCAGCAGCAAGAGAATGAAGCTGTAAGAAATTTGGAAACATGTATTGACGTCTGTACAAAGCTGGAAACCGAAAGCAATCTCTACGTGAAGAAACACCACTTCGCACTCATCAAAATGGCGATGCTATTGTTGGACTGCCGCACGGAAGCCGCGCGTGAACGCGTTGTCAGTGACAATGCCATTGCAAAAGGCCAGCAGTGTTTGAACAGACTGAAAACGGAATACTGGTCGTTAATCGCCGAGGGTGTCAAAGTGCAATTCAACTTGGTCAGTTCGGATCTGCAATACCGCAAAGGGAACTACTCAGAGGCCGAGAGATATGCAAATTGTGCCAAAGACCTGGCGACTGAGATGGGCTTTAACACAGAAATTCATCACGC